GCGTGTGCGTTAGCGTGTGCGTGCGCGCATCAGTGTAATTAAAGTGTGGAAAGATGCACACTCGGTGTTTTTCCGGCCTAAGAGGCTTAGCTCAGTCCTTGGGTCCGCCGCCCGGATATTTCATTTCTTTCTGCTTAAATAACAACACGACGCACCACGTTTGCCCCCTCGGCCCCCGGCCATACCGGGACCCCCCACGGCCGCCCCTCCCTCATCTTCAAACCACCACATCCAATATCAATTAGCTCATCTTGACCACCTTTGTCATCGGGGCGCTTGTCTCTATTCGAAGCTGGCAGTCGGCTAGGGTGGATGCTGACGGGGGCGGGGGACGCTTCCAGGGGGAACTCCACGCCCCGGTGGGCTGCCAGGCGGAACAACGCAGAAAAGTCAAATCCTCGCTCATGTTGAAATAAATCGGTGTTCATTAGCGTGTGTGCGCGCGTGTGTTTGTGGCTTTGTGTTTTTTGTGTGCCCTTTAGAGTGTTTGCGCATTTATGTGTGAGCGAGTGTGTGCATCGCATCGCATCCTTGCGCCTTGTGGCGCTGCAGCGTTTGTTTGAAATGAAAATTCCCGAATGTTTGAGGGATTACAGCGGATTGGCAGCTTGCTATCTGCACCCTTGTGCGCGCACGCGCGCGTGTGGACGAATAACACAAGTTGAAACAAAACACCAGGAAAAAAAAAAAGGGCCTCTCTTCGCCGCTGCATCGTCATTGCCGGCATTGACCTTCTGTGTATTCTGACTTCTATTCCACTTACACACGCACACACAGTCACACAAACTCTACACGCACACTTCATTGTACTTTCATCCTCACCAATGGCGCAGAAAAACCGTCGTCAAGCTTCATTGACCGAGAGAGGACGTAATTGTGTGTCCAGCTTCAGGTGAATGTCGCTATTTTGACTACCGAGTGCGTGAGGGTGTGTGTGTGTGTGTGTGTGTGTGTGTGTGTGTGTGTGTGTGTTGTGGGGAAGGTGCGCATACTTTACTCAGCCCCCTCTCTTGTGCTGGCTGCTCATTCACCTTGTCCATTAGAGGAGGGGTCAGTGGAAGGTGATGTTATGCTTGAAACATCGCTGCGGGTCCAACCTGCACGAGAATATAAACAGCTTGTTTTCACACGCACGCGCACACACACACACCGCTTTGCACGCCCGCCCGCACACACACACACACACACACACACACACACACACACACACACACACACACACACACACACACACACACACACACGCCTGACCTGCCAATGTCTCCGCTAAAATGAAAGACCAGATTTCTCATGACATGACATAATGAGCATGGATGTGTGTGTGTGTGTGTGTGTGCGTGCGTGCATGCGTGTGTGTGTGTGTGTGTGTGTGTGTGTGTGTGTGTGTGTGTGTGTGTGTGTGCGTGTGTGTGAAGATCGCGTCAGGCTGTTTCGAATCGGCGTGGTGTTTATTGGCTAAACAGGCGCGGGTCAGGTTGAGTTGCTACTGTTGCTACCTTCGCAAGTTACTTTGCGGTCTCATGCTGGCGGCAGCGTTGACTGACTCGATGGCGTCATTGCTGAAGTCCGCAGTCACTTCCCCTGCGGCCGCCGTCAAAGCCAAGCCCGTAAATACAAGAAATGACCGAGCGGGGCTCACCCGAAGGAAAGTCGAGGGACCGTTGGCCAATCGGGCAATCCCGCTGGAAAGCAACGCCAAACGTACGCGGCGGGCCAACAAAACTAGCCCGGATGTGGCGCCGACATTTGAGCGCGTGACGTCCTTTATCCTCGGCGAAGAACGACGCTCACGCGAAAGCCGCCGAGTGAGTCCGTCGTTGAGCCAGTCCGCCTCCGGCTGCGTCTTCCAGCGCCCCCCGGTGGCCAAGATGCGTAAACCGGAAGGAGCGACGGCACGTCTCTTGAATTCGACCCAAAAGTGACGAAAAAAGGGGAATTCTTGAGTCCGCGACGGCGTTACGACTGCGCGATCAGGCCGACCGCTCCTTTTTCCTGACGAAAAAGCGCCTTGCAGATTGTTCAACGGGTCTGATGTGACACGTGAAGCAAAGCTGTCGTCACCTCCGCTCGGGAGATTGCAGGGGAAGCTTTTGAATGGGGAATCCATTTAATCTGCCGCCCGCCGCGTCCAATGCGGCCCCCGGCGGGCTCCCCGCGTCCAGCCGCTCGCCGCACCCACGGCGCGCTCATCTCCATTTTAAAAAGTCGCTCCAATTCCCTTGTCACGCCGGCCGCGCTCGCTCTTTGTCCGCGGCGGGATGAAAGGCGACGCTCCACAATCGCGCGGCGCAACCTCGGCCGCAAAGTTAGCGGCGCGCCGCTCGCTTGTCACATTTACATCACTAAAGCCCGCCGGGCGTCGGCTCTTCATTCCATTTTGCAGCATCTTGGCACAGCAAAACCCCAAAACGCCGACCTGCGTTTGCTCAAAAACTTTGGCGACGATTAATTCATGCCGTTTTGTTTATCCGGTCGGCAGCCTTCATTGACTTTTTCAATTTCAACCGCGGCCCATTTAAGCGGGAAACTTGCTGGCTGTCAACGACGCCTTTTCTTGTCAAACAAAATGAAACAAGTCGAAGAATTGACGTCGACAGCGACAGCTGTCTGGGGTTTTTGGGGTTTTTTTTAGACGACTTTACAGTTTTAATATATGGACAACTTCTTTTTTGTTTGTTTTGGTTGCTCGAAATGTTTCAGCAGAGGCCATTGGTCCTCTTTGCTGTTTTAAATTGGGCTGTCGCCTATTTTGGCGGCTAAGACGTTTGTACCCTTTTTTTTTTCTCTCTAAATGTTCTCTCGGAAAAACGCCGCTCGCTGATGTATTCATTTCAAGCGCAGCCCATTGAGGCGGCGAACGCGCCGGCTCTCCAAGTTCCATGTCGTACAATGTAACTTTGTCAAAAGCTCATTTTGTCACCTGAGTGACTCCAGCCTCGGGAAACACACTGGCGCCCGTGCGGCCTTTTGTCATGCTAATGCCGCTAATGCGCCGACTGTATGTGTCCCTGTGAGAGAAAGGCGCTGGATTACAAAGAGCAAGATAACTTGTGCGACGATTGAACGGCGCTCACCAAAAAAAAAAAAAAAAGTCCAAGTTAAAGCCTCGGAAGAGGACGTTAGGGCGCGGGTACATCAAATCGAAGCAAAATCCAAATCCGTCGTTCCTTCGGCTCGTCGCGGCGCCTTTTGTCCAGCCGGCGTCGGCGGCTAACGTCTTTCTTTCCGAGCGCGTCTGTCTGTCTGTTGTTGTTGTGGGGCGAGGACAACTCGGCGGGATTACCGGCAACTCATTACAATGCTGACATGGACTAATGTGGGTGTTATCTGCACTTTTTTTTTTCACCAGCGTGCGCGTGCGTGTTGGGCCCCGAGCGAGACGTGAGCATCAAAGTTCTCGTACGGCGAACCCGCGTTGATCCCGAAGGGTGGCGTCGGAATTCATTCATTGCAATGGCAAAGAGCAAAATTGGGGTTGATCCGCTGCCATCGGTAGCAAAGAAGACGGCGAGTGAAGTTGGGCGGATGTCATTTGATGACAAATGTTCCCAAAACGCAGACGGAAGGAGTTGGGTCGGTCAAGTGAGGCGGGGGCTCCGACGGCCGCGTCGTTTTCCTCGAATGAAATTCTTTATCTTTTACTCGGCACCCCCCACCCTCATTATTTCTCTCGTCGTTTTACTTTCTGACCAAAGTTTCCACTCCGCCCCCCCTAAAAAAAAGAAAAAAGCCATTGGCAGGCGGAAAATCACAAAATAAGTCCAAGAATTCAAGTGTGGAATGTCTCACATTTGGCGTTAAGTGACGCACTGTAGCTTTTTTGCAATGAATTCAAACATATTTGGCCCATGAAAAAAAAAAATGGGATGGTGACTTACTGGCAGTGGCGATTGTTTCCCCCAATTTCCGTGAGCCTCTTGACGACGTTTCGCATGATCTGTTTTCCACATTACGCTCACCTTATTCCGCGGTTTGGTTGGATGTGGAAATACACCGTGTAGACTTCCTTTTTGTTTTATTTTCGGTGATACTTTTTTTTTTTTTTTGCACGGTGCCGCAGAGTTCAGAAGACGACGAGTTGTCGTCAAAGTTGAGGCTCCTAAAGTGAGCGTCGACATTTACCGAGGCCTCGTCTGCGCGTCGGACTTAAGCTTCTCGCCGAGGATACTTTGAAGCTCCTGAAAAGCAAACCTGGACGTGATTGGACGTCATCGAAGGCGGGCCAGCGAAGCCTTAAAGACGGCGGCGGCGGCGGCGGCGGCGGCAGCCTTTCATGTTCGCAGTATCCTGCTGCCTTTCATGTGCTCGCTATCTGGAATTAATTGCTTTTCAAAGCGCTGGCGAACGTACCGCACGTTACAATGCCCCCCCCCC